ATAGTCAATATATTGGACTGCCTCATCTTACAAGGGTGGTCTCTCATGCATCCTTTCCACACATTTCTCAGTCCGCCCTGCTTCCGCAGCCTCCGAAGCCACAAGTGCTGGGAAAGCTTTTATGGTGATCAGCTGGAACTGGCTTCTCTTTCAGTATTTGGCAACAGATACTGACACTTGCATGGGATTACACAAGACAACCACTCCTGGTCTGTCTGTCTCTGGCTGTTCTAAAAGGGCTTATCCAGAGCCTGTGGCAAAGTCAGATTCTAGCAGCCCAAGCGAAGATGCTGATTCCATCTTGGGAGGTGGAGGGAAAGGTAAGATTTAGGGTGAAGAAACAAGGGTTTGGAAAATGCTAGGCTCAGAATATACCAGTCATGAAGTAGCCAATCAATTGCACTGAACCTTGAAAAAAATTAAGCTCTTTATGAAAATGATAGTAATCTTAAAGCACAAATTATGTATGCTATACACTAAAAGCAAGAGAGAAGCTCCTAAAAGAGTGGGAGGAAATGGTATTCATTCTCAGGTTAGCCAAATGGAAAGGTGACTAGAAAGCGGGGGTCTTTCTCCACCTGTGGAGACTGACCTCTTCCTCTCTCTGGAATGCATTTTCAGTTGGAGTAGCTTCCTTCTTTACTTTCACTTTGTGAAACCACCTTTACAAATTGATGAAGGGGTGCAAGGCAAGAACTGGGGTAAGGGCCTAGCTAAAAATAAGGCACAGGCCTAACGAAAAATGATAGTAATTAGCCACTGTCTCCCTATTTGCATCTCTATAATTGCCACCCTGGAGCCATATAGCTGGTGGTCATAAAGATTGTCAGCTTTCTCCATAAATAACACCACCTTTTGAAGTTTCCAAGTTATCTTCAAGGTCCTGCATTCCAGAAGGGCTGACCCATCCAGACCAACCATCCATACCAAGGAACTGACTTAACTGGTCATGTGACCCCCACCCAAGAACCTGGTCAGCAAAGAAGACAATTTCTACAACCCTGTGGTTTCACCCCAAACCCAGCCAATTAGCAGACTCAATTGCCTACACCAAACTGTCTTTTAAAACCCTGTCTCCCAGATTCTCAAGGAGGTAGATTTGAGAAATTTCTCCCATCTCCCCGCTTAGCAATATGCAGAATAAACTGTTTCTCTGCTATAAAGAAAAAAGAAAAAAGAACAGAAAGCAGGATGATTTGAGACAGTTGTGTGCCAACATTTTCCTCTGAAACATTAACTCAGCCACCTGCAAAGCCTCAAGGAAATGAATCCTGCTGCTTTCCCCCAACCCTGAGGGCATTAGGCCCAGCTGCTTCTGATTACTTTTAGGCTAGAGGCCATATACTGATGTGCTTTGTTTGTCAAACAGGGAGTTGTATAAACTCAGGCCAATTTTTTTTAAATGAGAAAATTCACATAGAAATCTAGATTCTGGCTCTCTTAAAAACAAACAAGCAAAATAATTGGCTGCAGGAACTGACATCCCCATGTGATATGACAATCTCCTGGAGCTGAGGAGCCAGCTGTTCCACTTTGCTAGAGCGTGCCCTCCTAGATGGCCTCCTGTCCCCACCCTCCACACAATGTGTGGAGGTTTCCATACCCCTTCTGGCCACCGAAGGCCTTTCAGTTTGCCTCCCTCTCACTCTGGGCCTTCTAAAGCCTGTGGGTGAGGTGGTGGCCGTTACAAATTGGGGCTTTGGTAAACTCAGAGCCTTCCAGGAGTAGTCAATCAAGGGAAACAGTTAAGAGAGTTGCAAAGGGTCACTAGGAAAAAAATAATGCTGCCTGGAAACAACATCTAACCTTTGTTATAATAAAGCAAACCCATCCAAAAAGCACAAGAGAAAGAAATGGGTTCAGTTACTAAGTAATACTAATCCCAAATTTCTCATTATGTATCTTCTGTATTTAAGGTTCAGAATGACAAACATATGAATTTAATAAAATAGAAGGGAATTATTTGCTAAGGTGGTGTGATGGTTATGAATATGACCTTTATGTGACAATATTGCTTAAATTTTATGAAGTTTGTATTATTTTTGTAACCATGAAAACATCAAAGATACGACTTTAAAAGAAAGTTAAAATATAGGTTGCAATATTAAGAAAACTATGACAAATAATAAGTATATGGAAATCTTTTTCTTTCTAAACCCCACCCCCTTTCCTAATACAGGTGGCTTTGTTATAAGCAAGACAGCATCATTCTGTCATTTAGAGCTCTTGTGGAAATACAGACACAAGCTGAAAAGTAGACATGCAGTTACAGCAAGAAATGGGTAGGGAAATATGGGCTTGAGACCCAGAGGGTCTCAAGCTTCATTTTAGTCCCTGTTCCACTACCTTCTATATCTGGGTGACCTTGCACAAGTTATTAAAAATTTTTATACCTCAGTGTCCTTGTATATAAAATGCAGATAATAATAGCGCCCACCTTACAGGGTTGTTATGACGATCAGCTGAGTAAAGTGCCTAGACTAGAGCCTGGTATACAGTAAGTGTTTAATGCATTCAAAAGAAATTTTCCTTCTTTCAAAGATTCACCATAGATTTCTATTAAATAACTATCTTCCTTATGGAATTTTTCAAAAATCAAGAAAAAAATATTTTACACAATGGTACTCAGCCTTATATCTTTTTTTAAGCATTATATCTTCTATAACAATTTAGATTTCTGTATAAAGCAAAATTGGGTGAGGATTTTGAATTGAAGGTGGGTCTCCCTGTGCAGATAAATGAGATGCAGATTTTAATGTCCAGAAACTTTTGAAATACAGCAGACAATTCCAACTCACTTCCACACCAGCCTAGTAAGTTGCTGTCATCATAGGGCCATTAGAGCAAATGGGGGAGAGGATGCATAAAGGTGGCAATTGGGGGGCTGGAGGTGCCCAGACAAGAGCAGGCTAAGGAGACAGGAGGGAAAAATTCCCTGTCACCTGGTGGTCTTGTCCTTGCAGGCCCTGGTGAGCACACACAGCTGGGCTCTAGGGGGCACCAGGGCAGGCTAGAAGTAAGACACAAGCTGGGAGGGATTGTTCCCACTCTGAACCAGGGCTTGCAGAATGCACAAAACAGTGAGGGCAAGGGGCAGGCCACACCGTGAATTTCCTAGGCTCTACGCACTTTTGCCTTTGTCAAGCCCTCCCTTTCAAAAAAAATACATTAATTAATTAATTAATTAAAATCACATTTTATATCTGCATTGGTATAAGATTAATATATTAATATTCCACCTAAAAGTTCATTTTCTTTTTTCTGATTTTAGAAGAAATGAAACATTTTTGTGTTCTCCTGAAAGTACTATGGGCTCCAGGCTTCGTATCTACTATGCCTAACGGATAAGTCAGCTGGGAAGGGGAGAGGGCACCGTTTGAAATAGAACTTTAAAAAGATAACCAGGCCAGGCACGGTGGCTTATGCCTGTAATCCTAGCACTTTGGGAGGCCGAGGCGGAAGGATTGCCTAAGGCCAAGAGTTCCAGACCAGCCTGGACAATAGCGAGACCCCGTCTCTACAAAAAATAATTAAAAAAAAAAAATCAGCCGGTTGTGGTGACGCTCTCCTGTAGTCCCAGCTACCTGGGAGGATCGACTGAGCCCAGGAGTTGAAGGTTGCTTTAAGCTACGACGACGCCACTGCACTCCGGGCCATCAGCAGAGCTCCCCCTGCAGGCAGCAGATGTAAACACGCCTACTCCCCAGCCCAATCAGGATACCCATCGTCCGACGTCCCCATCAGCACTCCCTTGTCCTCCCCAATTCCTTCAATAAAATACAGAAGGAAGTAGTGAATCCACACACATAAAAGATTAAACTCGGCTGTCACCACTTCTGCCACATGTGAAGGGCTCAAAACTGAGTGGATCTGACTCAGCAAAAGACAAAGTCAAAATTTAAAGTACTACCTCAGCATTTTGCAAATGTCCAAAAAAATCCAACGTCCCCAAAAAAGGTGAAGAGCTCACAAACTCCGCAAAAACCAGGAAGACACTCTCAACTCTGTAGGAATTGAGAATGGGAGATATGTCGAGACTAGTGATCTAAAATCAATGCATAGGGTTGGGCTTCATTTGAATCCACAAATTCCGAGTATTGGCATGCTATTTTTATTTTTATCCTCATTAAGGTTTAAGCTTCCGGAATTTTAAGCCCAAGTCCAATTTCTGAATGGACGAAGAGTGCTGTTTAAAGGTGACCGCAGTATGCTCAATCTTCTAACCTTCATTAATTCAATTTTGACAAATCGTTCCATTTACTAGTTGGCAGCCCAACTTCAATCTTACTAGTGGCTTGACAAGGGCAGCTAGTACGACTTTGAACAAGATACTGAATTTAAGGCAACTGTAGTAAGCATTACACGTTATCTCACAACAAACCTATGGCATAGGTGTTGCTGTATTTTACAAGTGAGAGGACTGAGGCTAATTTGTCGAAGGTCACATAGCTTGTCGACAACAGATTCTGAGTTTGGATCCAAGTCTGTTTATGTCCAAATGTCAGGTGCACGCCGAGGACAGCCCTAGGCACACACAGAAAAGCTCCCAGGCAGCAGAACGCGGAGCGGCGCCTTGTCCCCGCATCCCCCAAATCCTACGTGCGCAGAAGCTGCAGAGACGAAGGGACATGGTCACGACCTTGGCATCTGGGGCAGGCACCAGTGCATCTATCTATGCACAGAGCACAAGTTCCTGTGGCAGGGGGTGCCGGATTTGGGGGGATGATAAGGGGAGGGAGAGGTTCTAACGCAGCTGTTGGGGGTCTACGGAGCAGTTACAGACAAATGAGCACCAGAGTGGGGGAAAGGTGACGGCGGTCGGCAGGTGCGTTTCCCGGCGAGCCTTCCCCAACCCCAGGCCCAACCCTCCCGGGGAGAAGGTCGCGCAGGGAGCGAAGCCACGCGGCGCTCGGGCGAAACCCAGAGAGTGGCGCGGCGGTACAGCGCGCAGGGCGCGGGGAGAGGGCGCTGCTCCGCGACTCGGCAACCTCCAGCCCGCTCGTCCCCGCTTCCTCCTCGCTCCTCCCGCTTCCCCGCGCGCCCCGCGCTCCCGTGCGCGCGTACCCGCTTGCCTGCTTCCAGCCGCCGCCGCCGCTGCCCGGGCCATGGCGATCTGCTTCTGGCTGCGGAGCTGCCGGGCCCCGCGCCTCCGGCCGCCTCCTCCCGGCCGCCTCCTCTGCCCCCGCGCCAGCGGCCTGGGGCCCGCGCCCAGCCAGGCTCAGCTCCGCTGCTACGCCGGGGGCCCAGCGGGCCTGTCCGCGGCGCTGCTGCGCACTGACAGCTTCGTGGGCGGCCGCTGGCTCCCGGCCGCCGCCACCTTCCCGGTGCACGACCCGGCCAGCGGCGCCGCGCTGGGCATGGTGGCCGACTGCGGGGTGCCCGAGGCCCGCGCCGCCGTGCGCGCCGCCTACGAGGCTTTCTGCAGCTGGAAGGCGGTCTCGGCCAAGGTGAGAGCTTGCCGCGTGCAGGGGTCGAGAGCTGACCCGGGGCCCAGCAGGGAGCAGAGGGGTCTTGGCCCAAAAGTGAAACCAGCTCCGTCTTCCTCTCCTCAATTGCCCGGGGTACACAGAACGGAAAGTCAGAGCAACAAGAAAGGAGCCGATCAACAAATAAGTTTGGAACATAGACTTTGGCCAACCTCTGTGCCAGGCGTTAGGGACACGGCCCCTGCCCTCAAGCCTCATGAAGTGTACTGCCCAGTAGGGGAGGCAGAACACAAGCACGTAAGAGTGTTATTGGTAACAAGCCTGACCTTGTGTGTGTGTGTGTGTGTGTGTGTGTGTAGGGGTAGGGGGCGGGGTGTCAGGGCAGTGAGAGAGCACGTGTAGCCCTTCAGAGTATATGAAATACCTCCCCGGCTGCACGGAGCCCACCTAGGAGGCTACTGCAGTGGTCTGTAAGAAGTCTGGTAGTGAGTGCCCTGGTCTAGTCATGGGATCAGGAACAGAGAACTGTAGAAAGATTCAGACTTTGTGCAGGGAAAGGGAGGAGTCCAGGACTATTCTCCAGGTTTTTAGCCTGAATGGATAAGTACTATTTACTGACATAAAGAACACTAGAGCATTGGGGGTAAGGGATGAGAATAGAGTAAGAAGAAAACTAAGAAATGTTCCTCCTTCATTTATTACATTACGCCTGGAGCCAACCCAGTGAAGTCATCTTCTACACTATCCTTGAAACCCCTCCCTCTGAAGATACGCATCCAGTGATCTGCACAAGTACCAGAGATTCTTAACATCCATCCTTCAGCTGTTTACTGAGCACCTGCTATATGCCATGCACTGGTGGAGGTGCCTGGGATACATCAGTGGACAAAAGAAATATTCTGCCCTTATGGAGCTCATGTGAGGCAGAGGGGAGATCTAAACTATAGACAATGAACATAATGCCTATGTAAATAAGTATGTTAGAGGTGGTGAGTACCATGAGGGCGAAAAGGTAGAAGAAGCAGGAGAAGAGAATCAGGGGCCAGAGGGAAGGGGCAGGCACGATGCAGTGTACATAGTGTCTGCTCAGGTGTAGTCATGGGCGTGGGCTGCCATTACCAGTACACAGACTGGAAAGCTTAGACAACAGAAATTTATTATCCCACGGTTCTGGAGACTAGAAGTCCAAGGTCAAGATGTCATCAGGGTTGGTTTCTTCTGAGGCCTGTCTCCTTGGCTTGCAGATGACTGTCTTCTCTCTGTGTCTTCACATGGTCCTCCCTCTGTGTGTCAGTGTCCTCAACTTTTTTGTAAGGATACCATTCAGATTGGATTGGGCCCACCACAGTGACATCATTTTAACTTAATTACTTTTATAAAGACCCTCTCTCCAGATACAGTCACATTCTGAAGTACTGGGGGGTTAGGACTTCAACGTATCAATGGAGGGGGACACCATTCCGCCCATAACATCAGTGTAGGCCTCATTGAGGACATGATATACAAAGACCAAAGGAAGTGAGGAGATTCAGCTAGAGCCAAAGTTGGGAGCGGGGCTGATGTTTTTTTGCAGAACAGCAAGGAGGCTCACGTGGACTGAGCACAGGGGAAGAGTTGTAGGCAAAGAAGTCATAGAGATACGGGGAGGAGGGGGCTGGACCATGTGAGAGAAGTGGGGCTTTCTGAGGACTTTGCATTTTACTTTGAGTGAGGTGGGGGCCGTGTCAGGGTTTTAAGTAGAGATACGATCTGATTTACGTTTCGAAGGGATTACTCTGGCCACAGTGCTGAGGACAGATGGAGAAACAACAGTGCTGGAAGCAGGGAGACCTGTTGGAAGGGTGGTGCAGGGATTTCAGTGGGAGATCACGGTGGCATGAACGAGGGTGCTAGCAAGGGAGGAGTCATGAGACCCGAAGGCTTTTGGCCTGAGTCGCCAAAGGATGAAGTGGGGTGAAGCTAAGGCGGGGGAAGGGTACGGGGGGAACAGCAGTGGGGTGAGACTTCGGAGCTCAGGTTTAGACCCTGAGTCCAAAATATCCATTCACGCCGCAGTGGGAATGTAAAGTAGGTAGTCGGATATGAGAGTCCAGGGTTTGAGAGCGAGCCCTGGGCTAGAGATCTAGATGTGAGAGTCATAGCCATGTGCACCGCAGGTATGCTCACAGCCATGGGAATGACCTGGCATGTTCAAGGCCTGATCCCTGGTTCCTCTAGCGTCATTCTGGAGTCCCTCTAGGGCCCACAGGATCAAGGCTGCCATACGATGGTGTTACAGTACAGAGGTCAGTGGTGGTTTGGCAACTGCAGGGCAGATGTTGGGGCCTTTTGCTGATACTGGCAGTGTTACCCTGTGTTCTGCTCACACCAGTGTGCTAATGTCTGTGTCCCTTGAACATTACAGTGATGTCAGCTTCCATCTCACAAGGGCTCCAGTCTTTTTAGGGAAACTTTGTTACTGAAAGGAGAGGTTTTTGGGTCCTGGAGCATCTAATACTAAGGGAGTGGTACCATCAGCTTCCCTAAGGGCCTGCAACTGCAGCTAGGAGATGTGGGGCGCAAATGCAGTGACGTGGCGAACACAGTTTGCAAGGCGGCTCTGCGATTCATCCCTTTCCTGCCTCCAGGCCTTTGTTGTCTTTCTCCCGGGTCTGTTTTCCCCTCCCTTCTCTAGGCCCATTCACGTCCCACCCATTCTTGAAGGTTTAGCTCTTGTGTAACTTCTGCCTTTGAGCCCGTCTAACCACAACCTTCTATTATTCTCCCTCTTCCAAACCCCCAGGCCTGTTCCATGTACCTTGTCATCTTCTGCATTGCCTCATATTTTTCTTTTCATGTGTTTTATGACCTCCTTTTTCCTACCTTGTGAACTCCTAGAGGACATGGGAGGAAGGGAACTAATATTTATTGACTACCTTATACATGAATGCGTTTGTTTCCCATTGCTATTGTAACGTATTACCATAAACTTAGCAGCTTCAAACAATACGAATTTCTTCTCTTTCGGTTCCGGAGGTCAGCGGTCGAAAATAGGTTGGCAAGGCTAGGTTCCTTCTGGAGGCTGTAGGGACAGTCTGTTTCCTTGTCATTTCCAGCTTCTACAGGCTGCCCACATTCCGTGGCCCTTGGCCCCATATTCCAACCTCGCCTTTTCTCCCTCTGACCCTTCCGCCTCTCTCTTGCAATGACCCTTATGATTGCATTGGGCCCACCCAAATAATCCAGAATAGTCTCCCCACCTCAAGATCCTTAATTTAATCACATCTGCAGCATCCCCTTTGTCGTGTAACTAACATAGTCACAGGATCGGAGGCTTCGGATGTGGACATCTTTGGAGGCTATTATTGTACCCACCACAGCTAAGTATTGCTCTCGGTGCTTCACACGTGTTTGATTTCATCCTTTCAGTGTCCCCGTGAAGTAGATATTTGATTCGTCTATTGCTTCTTGGCCTTTTGGCTAAGATCAAGTGTAGTATCTGTTCTTATCAGTTTAACAATTCATGTTACACACAAGGGAGCCGACTGAGAGATCACAGGTCACCGTCCCTCACTTCACTGCTGGTCACAGGGAGGCCCTGAGATCTGAGCACCACGCGACTGTCCACTGTCCCGCCTCTCAGGAACCCTGTCTGAGTCTGGCACTTCCACGCAGCCCCTTATACAGACTATATTAGTTTCCTACAGCTGCTGTAACAGAATACCACAAACTTGGCGGCTTAAACAAAAGAAGTTTATTGTCTCAGGTCTGGAAGTTAAAAGTCTGAAATTAAAGTGTCAGCAGAGTTGGTTCCTTCTGAGGGCCATGAGGGAAGGATCTGCTCTAGTCCTCTCCCCTCGGCTTGTAAGTGGCCTCTTTCTCCTTGTGTTTCTTCACATTGTCTTTCTTCTATGCAGGTTTCTGTGCCTGTGTCCAACTTTTTCCTTTTTCTAATGACACAGTTATATTGGATTAGGACCCACCCTAATGACCTCATTATAACTTGATTACTTCTGTAAAGACCCTATCTCCAAACAAGGTCACATTCTGAGGTCCTGGGCGTCAGGACTCCCAACATACCGTTTTTAGGTCGACACGATTCAACCCATACTTTGTTTACCGAGGGCTTTGCATGCTGAGGGTATTTTGTGGCTTCTGCTGGTTTATGTGTTCAGCCTGAACATTGTGTTTTCTGCCACCAAGCAGAAGCTGCTTTTTGTTCTTATAGTTCTCATGCTGCTTCATGTCCTTCTCTCATTCTTTCTCAGACTAAGTATGGTGCTTTATTCACAGCAGGACATTTCCTCGGGTATTTAATTTACTTTCCCAAGCCAGATCTCCTAGATTTTAGTATGTCATCTCTCACCAGAATAATCCGCAGGCCTGGAGTCACCAGATTCTTAACTGACTTTGCAGAGTGTGAGGGTAAACAAAATGTAATGACTATAGCAATATTGTTTTAAGAGATGTTGATGCCTCTTCTCCAGGTTTGAGATTTAGAGGCCTCAATAATATCCTTGAGAGGCAAGAAAATGCAGCTTGTTAGCCTGTCCAGAATAGAGAAGGGAAATAACCCAGAAAAAGACAGCTAGTGATACACACACTCAGGCTCTCCGCTCATGAGTGTTACAAGGAAAGAATTAAAATCTTAGATCTGCTGAATGGATTAGCACATCCAAATGACAAACCAGGCGTACTCACTGCAGTGGGCAGTCCTTCAGGCAGGGGGGAGTAAACCAAAGATTCTTTGTGGCTTTGGATACACCTGTTCAGATGCAGGAGGCTGAAGCCCTGGGCACATCTCTCTCTAGAGTGCCTCTGTGCAGCCCGGTTGGCCTGATTCTCTCAGCGGCCTTCTTGTTTTTTTCAACCGGTTTTATGTAAATGAAATTTTTAAAAGTTTTTTTACTTTTAGAAACCATTTCTTCCATAAGCTTAAAAATCTAATTTATCCCTTCATCTCCGTTTTGCTCATTGAGAATTTTTTAAATTATGGTAAAATATGCATAAAACTTACCATTTTAACCATTTGTAAGTATGTTCAGTGTCATTAAGTACAATCACATTGTTGCGCCTGGGCCCTCTCCTTAAGTGTATAAAACCCTTTCTTATGCCTCACACACCCCTCAATCCCCACCCCAGTGTGTGGGACAAATCCAGTTTGCCAGCAAGTTGTTAAAATAGAGAATGATACTTGAGGACATTACATTGAATGAAATGAGCCAGTCACAAAGGGGCAAATCCTGCATGATTTCACTTATACGAGGTACCTAGAGTTGTCAAATTCATAGAGTCGGAAAGAAGAATGATGGTTGCCAGGGGCTGGGGGGAGGGGGGAGTGGGGAGTTATTTAATTAGTACAGAGCTTCAGGTTGGGAAGGTGGAAAAGTTCTGGAGGTGGACGGTGGGGATGGTTGTACAACACTGTGAATGTACTTAATGCCACTGAACTGCACACTTAAAAGTGGTTAAGATGATAAATTTTATGTTATGTGTATTTTATCACAATTAAAAATAATAATATAAGAACTAGGGAACTATACCTTTGTGTGGTAAAATTAAAGTTATTCTTATTTACCATAAACAATAGTAGCTGCTTCCACAAAACTTTTTTCTTTTATGTTTATGACTCATACACTCCTTTAGATGCAACTTGAAGCTTATCAAAGAAGGGTTGACATTCGTCTTCCCAAGGACATTGCTCAGGGTTCTCCAGAGGAAGAGAACCAATAGGATATATATAGATATGTAGGAAGAGACTTATGAGAGATTGGCTCACATGACTGTGGATGCTAGAAAGTCCCGCAATCTGCTGTGTGCAAGCTGGAGGCCCAGAAAGCTAGTGGTGTAGTTGTAGTTGGTTCTGAAGGTCTGAGAACCAGGAGTGCTGATGTCTGGTGCCTGAGAACAGGAGAAAATGGATGTCTGAGCTCACACAGAGAGCCAGTTCTCCCTTCCTCTGTCTCTTTGTTCTATTCGGGTCCTCAATATATTGGATGATGCCCACTTGTATTGGTGAGGGCAAATCTTCTTTATTTAGTCTACTGATTCAAATGCTAAACTCTTCTGGAAACACCCTCACAGACATGTGCAGAATGATGTTTTACCCCCTATCTGGGCATCCCTTAGCCCAGTCAAGTTGACATATAAAACTAACCATCACACCAAGAATGAATCCACACAGCTATTTTAGGAAATTGAATATTATTTAGCAGTCTCTCTGATACTTGGCATTTCATTACTTCTCTGTCTTGTTACTTCTTTTTCAGGAAAGAAGTTCATTACTGCGGAAATGGTATGAGTTAATGATACAAAATAAGGATGACCTTGCCAAGATAATCACAGCTGAGAATGTAAGTTCAGGGTCCTGGCTCACTACCCTGAGAACTTGTCCAGGAATTCTTAGACTAAACTCGGGAAGGCCTCTGACTTCCCATCTGTGCTGTCTGTAGCTAAAGAATATGTGATTTTTCATCTACTGATTAAATACCAAATCATTATTGTGCCAGGGTACTCACATTTGGTAAAATAAAATTTGTATGTTCTAGTTTATTCTTATTAATATTCAAAGTTAGATTTTGTTTGAAATTATATGAATACTGCTTTTTCACCATTCCAATTTTTTTTTCTATGTGACTGTTATGGTTGATTTTTCATGTTGTTTTATATATTTTAAAATGTTCCAATAGTTCCTCCCTAAGTATAATAAATGATTTGACACCATGGTTACAATATTTAGGTATTATTGGAAAGAGGAAAAAAGTAGAAGATGCAGCTACAGGTGTCTCCTAAACATATTGAGAATGCAAATGATTCTTGTGGTTTAGGGTGATACAACCATGCTTATGTCCATCACTATTTGTAGTTCTGCTTTCTGAAAATCACACCCAAGTTAGAAATTTCCCAACAACCCTGTGGGTTTTGTAATGGGAGACTTTTCTACTCCTTTTGCAGCCTTGAAGAATTTAGAAGCACAGAGTCCTTCTTTTATTATTAGAAGGTAATAATAAATGGGTTCTTTTCTGATTTAATTTAGGGAAAGCCACTGAAGGAAGCACAGTCAGAAATTCTCTATTCCGCCCTTTTCCTAGAGTGGTTTTCAGAGGAAGCGCGCCGCATTTATGGAGACATTATCTATACCTCAGCAAAGGACAAGCGGGCCCTGGTCCTCAAGCAGCCTATAGGTGTGGCTGCAATCATCACCCCGGTACGTGCAAGGATCAGCAGGATCCTAGGGTAGGAGATTGGGAAACAATTCATGCTTCCCCATGAGCCGGTGTGCTCATCCTGCTAGCTTTATCACCTGTTCTCGGTTTCCTGATTCCTTTGCTGGATGCAGAGCTGTGTTTCCTGGTCCTTTGTGATATGGTAGGTGTGTTGGCAGCAAGTGGGAGTAGTATTTGCTAATGCCTGGGAAAGTGGGATGACCCACAGGAGGACCCAGGCAGCTTTTCTGACTTGGCATGAAGGCTTCTCTGTGATATTGCACCTCTGAAAAGATCTTTCGATGTTTATCATTTTTAAAAGGACTTAAGATATGACATATTTTTTAATGTGCCATAGTTTGGAAAAAATGCTTCATTTATGGTTATCCACAAAAAAGCATTTGTGTATCTACCTGTGGGCACTAGGCCAGGCTCTAGAGGTTAAAAGGCTAAGAAATTAGATACTGCATCTGCCAGGATGGGGCTGCAGCACATCTGTGGGTACCCAGTTTCCTCTCTGGGTGACCAATCTTTCTAGGACCTACCTTCTACTAGGTCCCACATGACTTCTCTCCAATGTCTGCCAGCTGGTCTCAAGATTGCTGTTCTTTCCCTGCTCACTATAATTACAGATAGAATCCCCCTTACTGCCTAGACTTCCTAGGTTTGGCTTGAAGCTTACTGTATACTAGCTGTGTGACCTTGGACAAGTTATGTAACTATGCTGTCTTGGTTTTCCCAGACCTGCTAATGAGGATAATATGAACATTGTTGGGTTGTGATAAGAATTTAATTAATTGTAATTTTAAAGTGCTTGGAACAATACCAGAATAAGCACTACATATGTGTTTATCAAAATAAAATACTGTTTTTTACATGTGTAGATGTCTACAGATATCCATAAATATGTATATAGAGGGACATAACAAATTATCTACCATTTTCACAATCACCATTGCTAATATTTTCTCCCAAGGGCCTGAAGCCAAATCCAGCCTGCTATTTTTGTTTGTGAATAAAGTTTTATTGGGACATGGCCACACCCATTCACATTACCATCTGTGGCTGTTTTCACGATACAGCTGCAGAGTTGAGTAGTTGTGACAGGAACTGTATATCCTAAAAGCCTAAAAGATTTACTGTATAGCCCTTCACAAAAAAAAAAGGTGGCTGACTCCAGTCTAGATAATTTTACACAATGTTAAATTCTGAAAATATTTCCTGTCTTTATGAGCTTTTATCTCCCAAGTCCATCAAGTTGGGAGGGGTCAGGTGTTTGGAGAATGCACCTGTGCAGCCAGAGAACAGGTTTGTCAGTCAGTTGTGCAATGGAATTTGTTGACTGACTTCCTAACCTGCCTTCCTTTGGACTAATGAGGCAGTCTTTCCTCTGACATACTTCCTCCGCTCTTCTGACCCCAGTGGAATTTCCCCAGCGCCATGATCACCCGGAAGGTGGGGGCCGCCCTGGCAGCCGGCTGCACCGTGGTCGTGAAACCTGCAGAAGATACACCCTTCTCCGCGTTAGCCCTGGCCGAGGTGAGTGTCTCTCCCTGTGTTTGTACAGAGCCAACAAAGTCCAAAAATGGATTTTTTACTCTGTGGTGCAATTGACAATGCATTGGACTTCTAATTCAAAAATGTACTTTTTTATCTGGGACAGAAAGAAGCAGTTCTGGAGCCGCCTCCTTTGCCTGTGTCTGCCACTGCATGGTCGTGTGTTTTAATCAGATATTATTTTAAGTCAGATGTTGCTCTTTTCAGGAAAAAAAAATTGGTAGGGGATTTTCTGATATTTGTAGGCCATGTATTTTTTTTAGCCTACCATAAAAATGGTATCTATCCATCAAATAGGCACTTTCATCACATAGGCACTAGAATGTGGGTGTTTCTCAGATGTAGGAAACCTCTTATTTACCACTCCCATCCCCAGTTCAATGTGCATTCCATCAGATCTTGTCATTCTTCTGTTTGGAACTCCCAAATGGCTTTTCACATCACTTAGAGCAAAATCCAGACTCCCTGCAGTGGCCCTCAAGGCCCTATGAGTTGTCACCCCCAACCACAGTACCCCTCTGACCTGGTCCATCCCTCTAGAGCCCCCTCACTCATCACTCATCCGCTTGGGCCACTCCGGCCCCATGCCATTCCCAGGCTCCACCAGCCTCACCCTCGACTTGGAATTTATTCTTTTCCCTCTGTCTGGAGCACTCTCCCCACAAACACTCCCGTGACTTGCTTATTCATGTCTTTACTCAAATGCCACCTTCTCAGAGAGGCCTTCCCTGGCCACCTTATTTAAAAATCACAGCCTCTCTCTCAGGTGCTCCTGATCCCCCTCTCTGCTTTGTGTTTTTCCCCACAGCACTTAACACTACTTACCCTACCACTGTTTCTAGGCCTTTTCGGTGGGCAGGGCTAGGGGATGAACAATATGCGCACACACACACACACACACACACACACACACACACACACACACAAACACGATAAAATACTGCATAAATTCCTGTAGAAGCTTGGGATTCAGATTTAGTCCTACAGGGTTTTTACTTACCCGCTTTATATTATACCTGCATCTCCTTTCTTCCTGGTTCCCAAGGATTCAAGGAATGATTGAATTATTAATATCTCATAGTTACTCATTACATACACCACAGCTTCTGAATATTAATTTTAATATCAGAACCAATATGTCTACTGAAAATGGTTTAACTTTTTTGCATTTTCTCTCTCTATTCTCCCATTTTTACTAATAAACTTTTTATTTTAGAATAGTTTTACATTTACGGAAATATTGCAGAAATCAGTACGGGGTTTCCCACATACCCCACACTCAATTTCTCCTATTATCTGCGTCTTACGTTAGTAGGGTACATTTGTTACAATTAATGAACTAATATTGATCCATCATTATTAACTAAAATCCATACTTCAAAAAATTCATTCTTAGGATTTTATTAGTTTTTACCTAATGTCCTTTTTATGTTTCAGGATCCCATCCAGGATACTACATTACATTTAGTTGTCTTGTCTCCTTAAGGCTCTCTTGGCTGTGACAGTTTCCCTCTATTTTAAAATAGTTATACTGTGTCTGAGTTGCCCGGACTATAACCATTGCATACTCTGCTCTCTCCCTTTTAACCCACCTTTAGATGAATTCAACAAGCAGCGATGTATTTGTTGCTCACCACCAGTGCTTATGTCATTTGGTTATTTGAACTTTATTCTCTAGTAGATTCCTCAGAGAAGGGCTCATGGGAATGATACTTCTGGTTCTTAAATGTTGACAGTAGTTTGTGCCCATTATGCTTGTAAATCAGTGTTTTTTTTAAACTTTTTTTTTTTTTTTTTTGTGACAGGGTCTCCCTCTGTAGCCCAGGTGGAGTGCAGTGATATAACATAGCCCACTACAGCTTTGAACTAACTCCTGGGCTCAAGCCATCCTCCTGCCTCAGCCTCCGGAGTAGCTAGGACGACAGGCCCACACCACCTCACTCAGCTAATTGCTTTTAGTTTTTGCAGAGGCAGAGTCTCAGTATGTTGTCCAGGCTGGTCTCAACTTCTGGCCTCAAATTATCCTCCCACCCTGGCTTCCCAAAATGCTGGGATTGTGGGCATGGCCCACTATACCTAGCCATAAATCAGTATTGCTGGGTATAAAATCCTTAGCTTACATTTTCTTTACTTGATTATCTTAAATATATTCTCCATTTTCCAATGTTATAAAGTGTTGAAAAGTCTGATAATAATCTAAGTTTCTTGCCTTTATAAATCAAGGGGTTTTTTTGGGGGGGTTGGAGATTTTTTTGCCTAGATACACAAAAGTGGGTGGGTTTTTTTCTCCTTTATCTTTAAAGACCAGTAATATCACTAGAATATGTCCCTGATGATTGTTCTGGGTCCATGCTCTAGTTATACAGTGTGCCCTTTCAATATGTAGTTTCAGAACTTTTTTTGATCTCTATAAAGTTTTCGGATGTTGTTTTTCATCCTTGATTTGCTTTACTTCTTCAGAAGCTCCTGTTATCCATAAGTTAAATCTTTTTTGTCACGTTCTCCTGTATCCTTTTCCCTAATGTTTAAAATTATCTTCCTGTTCACCTTCTATTTTTGTTAAGGTTTTACATGTTATGTTTATTCGTTCTTGTATATGTTCCTTATAGTTTGTTCTTCATTTCTGAAATGATTTTTTCCAATCATTTCTAATTCTTCCCTCACCTCATTTCTAAATTTTTCTAGCTCTGATTCATGTTGTTCTTTCATATCGGTATACTTTTCTCATCATCTTTTACCTTGTAAATAGTAAATAGTAAATTGTAAATAGTAAGTTACAATTCGGGTCTGTTTTGTGGGCATGTCTTTCTATTATGCTTTTGTTGTCTCTGAGGAAGTTATTCTACTCCTTATTCTCTCTCTTTTTTTTTTCTTTTAACAACTTTGTATGGGATTTGAACTCAGTGCTTTTCTGAGAGTTTTGTTTATTTTTATGTGGAGTTAATTTTCCTGAACTTTTAGAAGAAGGCCTAGTTAGAAATAGCTTCTCTACCTTGATGGAGTACCTTTTGCTCTCTGGTGTGTTGTGTTCAAAGATAAGGCAACTTGCTTCCCAAGATTCCCTGGCTTCGTTCCCTTCCCCACTTTTATCTGGGCCTTCTCCTCTTGCATCACACTGACCCCAGGGGCTGGACCCTCCACGCCCTTCAGTGCTTATTGCAGTGTCCCTCGTACTCACCTCCTACTGGAGCGGGCAAGGCCCTCCCACTCGCAGCTGCTGTTCTCAGCTGAACACCTGTGGGCTGTCTGGGCGTCCGTGCATCATGCAGCCTGCTGCTGCCCTCTGTTTGCTCTCACACAGGTGCTGACATGACGCCCAGGTCTTATCACGGTAGGCGGTGTGTCCTCACCCACTTGTAATCTGTGGTTTGTGGAGATACCTTGTCATCTAGCCTTGTAAATGTCTCTGATATTTTGGTTTTGCTATCTAATTGCTGTTTTTAGGAGGAGATTTAGGGAGCTTCAAAAACTCTGCTGCTACCATCATCTTCCCAGAATCCCTAGTCAGATGTACATAATAAGCTAATTGTTAATGGAATCCAGAAATTAAAATAATTTAGGATATGCCTTATCCAAAGAGAATCGCCGTAAAAAGAGCACGGGTTTCCAGGTCAGGCCGCTGTGGGCCAGCATGCAGTTCTGTTACTTCCTACTGTGTGGCCTCGGCTGGACCCTTCCCTGCTGGGCCTCCGTCTCCTCATCATGGCTGTGAGAAATAACCTATGGAAAAGCTTTGCCCCACTGCAATACACCTAGTAGGTGCTCACTAAATGCCCCTTTCTACGCTGCTATCCTTGGTCCTACAGGTGAAACAGATAACTTTTTTCTTGGAATATCTGATTTTTCTTGAGAAAGAAATTCGAGGTTGTTTGAATAGAAGGTGGCACTGAAACTCATACTCTAAGAAATTTTAATGATGTTTAATGATACATTAATATTAACGTCACTTTAGCACTAATAAGAATCTTATTTCAGTTTCATATATATTCTTATTCAGTACCCAAGGTCAGCTTAACATTTTTCCCATTACTTTTTGGGTTCAATGTCTATTTATTGCTGTTCTTTTTTGAGTTTGATAATTTGCTGCTTCTCTTTATAGCTTGCAAACCAGGCTGGAATTCCTCCAGGTGTATACAATGTTATTCCCTGCTCTCGAAACAAGACCAAGGAAGTAGGAGAAGCACTTTGTACTGATCCTTTGGTGCCCAAAATTTCCTTTACTGGCTCAACAGCTACAGGAAAGGTATGTGACTTAAGTCTCAAAGGAAAAAAAAATTCCATTCTAATATTTTCTCTTTATAGAGTATAAAAAGACTGTTTCATCTTAGTCACCATTTTTAGAAAGATTGCAGCAGAGTGTTAAAAGCTCTGTCAAATAAAGTAATGTCTAATCATCCTCTGGAGATATTTTTAAATGATGTTTCTTATATAGCATGACGTACATTCCCATTTGACAATACCAAACGAATTGAGGCAGCAAGGTTCTCATTATTTTCCCATTATTTGTTGTATGTGAAGTAATTAAAAGCTATCCATTTTATTTCTTCAATTCTTGAATTCATGTTTTTTTTTTTTTTTTGAGACAGAGTCTCACTTTGTTGCCCGGCTAGAGTGAGTGCCGTGGTGTCAGCCTAGCTCTCACAGCAACCTCAAACTCCTGGGCTCAAGCGATCCTCCTGCCTCAGCCTCCCGAGTAGCTGGGACTATAGGCATGCACCACCATGCCCGGCTAATTTTTTCTCTATATATATTTTTAGTTGTCCAGATCATTTATTTCTATTTTTTAGTAGAGACAGGGTCTCACTCCTGCTCAGGCTTGTCTCGAACTCCTGACCTCGAGCGATCCACCCGCCTCGGCCTCCCAGAGAGCTAGGATTACAGGTGTAAGCCAACGTGCCCAGCCGAATTCATGTTTTTTCATAATCTAGAATTAGAGATTCCAGAAACACACAATTGATGTTGAAATGGATGACTTAGAATGGAACAAAAATTGTATTTAGTATAAAGGTATTTACAGAAATGGAAAGGTATCTTATCTTTTTTTTTTTCCATGAATGTTGAAAAGGTCTTTCCTCAAAACTTCATGTGTATGCCTGTGAGTAGATTTTTATTTATCCTTTTAAATGTCCAAAAGAGAAAAACGTTACAATAGAACAAAATGTTTTTGTTTATGGTGTCTCTTTCTAGATAGTATACTTCTTTCTGCTAGTTTATGTTAATATACATATATATGTATCTATACTCATGCTGGACATGTACATAAACACACAACAGACAAAAATGATCTAATTTGAAAGTTTCTGTGAACCTGTGGTCATTTTTGGAAACCATAAGAAGAGGAAGGAAGAAAGCAGGTTTTTTTTGTTTTGTTTTTTTTATTTCAGCATATCATGGGGATACAAATGTTTAAGTTATGTATGTTGCCCTTGCCTCCCCACTCCCCCCCAAGTCTGAGAAGAAAGCAGTTTTAATACCTCCCGACCATAGCTACATTTGTCATGCCATAAACTCACACTCAGGGAGTAGCACTCTGGAATCCTGCCATTCATTCACGTCAGAAATAGGAATTTTTTAATCCATGAACTGCTACGCTCCTGATTGATGGGTCTTACAATGCAAGTGTAAGAGGGATGCAAATGTTACTATGAAGCAGAGAAAAAGAGAGTGGCCTGGGAGAAAGGGTTGTAAAACCTTTGCCATTCAAGCCAGAGAAATGCCCAGGATACTGGGCAAACGGCAGCATTCATTGCTTTTCCTCAGTTTACCCAGCAAATTGTCATCATCTGACAGGCCTCAGGAAAATGTCTACCATGTTCCTGCCAAATCTAGATTTGCTCCTGTTTACTCTGGACAGTGGTTGACCACAAGTGGCTTAAAGGGAAGAGTGACAAGTATAGCTAAAAGAATTACTGATCTATATTGCAAGGGCCTCTTCTGAGCTGGTCTTCACAGAGATCAGTGGCTGAGCTGCTGGTCTGGGGGCACAGAATCTTGCCTCATGACTGCAGCCCACACCATGAGCCTGTTCTAGAGATGCCTGCCCTGTCCTCCTCCCTTTCTAGGGGGGGCCACCCCTCCCAGAGCCCTGCTGAGGAGACAGCAGCCATGTTTTATAGCACATGACACCTTGGCTCTTTCTGCACAGAGAACTGAACCATGAGTGGTCACTGACCTGAGGGAAACAATTTGTAGGCTGGCTGGTGACCTAGGACAAGTGGCCTGACCTAGGACAAGTGGCCGGGTTAATCACATTCTGTCTTTGGAGCCTGAGGAGGTCAGCAGTGGGAAGTGGAGCTGAAAATATTCATGAAGAGGTGCCAGGAGTTCACACCGTACTCCAGGGGCCATGACAAGCCATCGTGGGGAAGCGGAGCCTGAGTGGGGAGAAGACCTTGTCAGAGGACGTAGAGCTAGTGCACGTGGAGGGACAGACAGCAGGAGACAAGGCCAGGCGGAGGTGAAATGGAGCGACCCAACAGTGAGAATCTTTTTATACTGGAGCAAATTCAGGGAAAGTCAGTGGCCTGGCAGATGGCATTTCTTTAAAATTCAAAAATAAAATAGCTATGTTGAGTCCAAGAAAGTAATATGTTTAATCTTAAAACTTGTACTGTTTTGTTGAGTGGTGACATTTCAGTGAGAAAATTGTTGCCACCATTTGATTGTTGGAATATTAACATCTGAGCACTTAGAAAAGCACTGGCACAGGCCCAGCTTTCCAGCCATTCTGTAATTTTACCAAGGGCCCTATCACAAAACCCACAACCTTGGGGTGTGTATCACTTGGGGGAGCATTTGTACAGCCTCCTTGGGCTTATGAATACTGCCTGTTTCATTTGAACTATCTCAAATGGTTCCATCTTTCCTGTAGCCATAACTGGACAGAGACCTACTATCCTACCATAAAGAGTTTAAACAGTATCTCAAGAATGGAAAAACAAACACCACATGTACTCATTATTAAAGTGGAACTAACTGATGAGCACATATTCACACAGAGGGAAGTAAAACTCAGGGGAAATCAACCAGGGGGGAGGAGGGGAGGGGAAAAAAACCTACCTAATAGGTACTATGAATACTATTTGGGTGATGGGCATACCTATAGCCAGGACTCAAGTGTGACAAAAGCAATCCATGTAACCTAAAACATTTGTTCCCCCTTAATATTTTGAAATTAAAAAAAAAAATCAGAAATAAAAAGAGTTTTAAACATCCCTGAGTAGCTTTCTATTTTTTTTTTTTTTTTTTTTAACTGAGCCAGTGAATGGCACCTTTATTCTGAGGCTGAACAGCAGTTGACTCCCTTCCTTGGTAACTGCTCCACCCTCCATACCGGGAGAGGTAGGCGAAAGTAACATGCAGCCACCCCTTCTCTTCCCTTCTTCCCTCCCAGGCTGAGCAGCTTTCTTAAGCCATAAAATCTCTTCCTGGATATTTAGAGCCTAATAGTTATATATATATCAAAAGCCTTACAATTGTGCATTGAACTAGAAATTCTATAAATTTATCCTGAAGGAATAATTGCAGTGTAGCAATAATAGCAAAAATTGGAAGCAACCTAAATGTCCAACAGATGGGGACTGGATAAGTAAATTATGGAACAGCCATGCAATGGACTACTATGTATCTAAAGGAATGTTCTAGAAGCACATGTGCTGACATGAGAGGATCTTCACATTATAGTGTTACATTAAAGGAGCAAGATATAAAGTGTTATGAATATGTTAAGATGTTCCAGATATATGGTTAATTGGGAAGATAAAGCAGGTTACAAAACCATTTAATTATACCATCTCGTTTTCTTTTTTTTAAAAAAAGTACATAACTTGAAACTGCATGGCTAAATTCTGAATGGATGTACCTTAAAATGTTATGACTGGTAAGCTATGGGCTGTGGGATTCTGGGAGATTTTATTACCTTATCTTCATATTATGATTTTTAAGCCTAATTATGTTTGTGAATAGGTAATATACATATAGTTTAAACATCAAGACAGCATTAACATCTTTACCTGGAAAAATCTCACCCTCCCCCTGCCCCAGACTCTCTCCCCTTTTCTGTAAGTAATTACTTTTAGTCTCTTCTTATTTTCCCAATGTTTCTTTATAAAATACAAGCAAATATAAATATATATTCTTTCATGGGTGGATTAATAAAATATGGTATATGTGTATACCATGGAGTATTAGCCATAAAAAATGATGAATTAATACCTTTTGTAACAATCTGGATGGAACTGGAGACCATTCTCCTAAGTGAAGTACCGCAAGAATGGAAAAACAAATACCACATGTACTCACTGTTAAATTGGAACTAATCAGTCAGCACTCATGTGCACAGATGGAAGTAAAACTCAACAGAAATCAAGCAGAGGGAAAACGTAAAATCACACCTAACAGGTACAGTGTACACTATCTGGGTGATGGGCACTTACAACTTTGACTCAGGCAGTACAAAAGCAATCCATGTAACCAAAACATTTGTACCCCCATAATATTCTGAAATAAAATAAATAAATAAATATTCTTGTTTCTCCCTTTTCTTGGGTGAAGAATTGTCCCATATCCACATACACATTATTATGTACCTTGCTTCTTTCACTAATGGGTAATGTTTTAAAACAAAGGTTTAATAGTCCTGGTAGTTGATTTCAGTGCTCATAGCACTCTCTCCTCTGCTTTCAGATCCTGTTGCACCATGCGGCAAACTCTGTGAAAAAGGTCTCCCTGGAGCTGGGCGGTCTTGCTCCATTCATAGTGTTTGACAGTGCCAATGTGGACCAGGCTGTAGCAGGGGCTCTGGCATCTAAATTTAGGAACTCTGGGCAGGTGAGTCCTATAGAGCAGTGGTCCCCAACCTTTTTGGCACCAGGGACTGGTTTCATGGAAGACCATTTTTCTATGGACAGTGGGGAATAGGAGAGCATGGTTTCAGGATCATTCACGTGCATTACATTTATTGTATACTTTATTTCTATTATTACATTGTGACTTGCTACTCACTAATAGGGTTTTGAGCTGAGTCTGCAAGAAATTGATTTATTATGGTCTCTGTACAGTCAAACCTCTCTGCTAATGATAATCTGTATTTGCAGCCACTCCCCAGTGCTAGCGTCACTGTCTCAGCCTCACCTCGAATCATCAGGCCTTAGAGTCTCATAAGGAGCCCACAACTTAGATCCTTCACATGCACAGTTTACAGTAGGGTTCACGCTCCTATGAGAATCTAATGCTGCTGCTGATCTGACAGGAGGCGGAGCTCAGGAGGTGATGTGAGCTATGGGGAGCGACTGTAAATACAGATGAAGCTTCACTCCCTTGCCAGCCAATCACCTGCTGTGCGGTCTAGTTCCTAACAGGCCACGAACCGTACCAGTCTGCGGTCTGAGGGTTGGGAATCACAGCTGTAGAATTTCTCAGGGTGTGTGTGTTGGAGGGGGGCATGTTACAAAGGTCCTACCACCTCCACTGCCTCCTCATCTGCAAGGAAACCTTTGGGTTCCCTCCATTGTTCATTCTTTATTCATTGACTCTTTTAGCAAATATTTAATAAGTGCTTTTTTTGCCAAGCTATATGAGGCAATGAGGGTCCACAAAGAAATAACACATAGCCCCCGGCTTTCTTTAAAGAGTTTCTTAAACAGCCAAATGTCTTTCAGTCAGATAGTTCTCTCATCTCTTTTTTCCCCTACCCTTTGAATCTGGTTATTTTCATAGTTTTTCCTCACTGGGCTTTTCTCAACTGATAGAATTGTCTCTTCAGATGCAAAGCAGGCTTGAACAGCTAGGTCTCTGAGGCCAATAGTCTTAAGGGAAAGAAGGTAGGAAAATGTTGAGGAGGGTGCCTGGAAAAACTCAAAACGCTTCCACTTGCTAAGACCTACCAGGGCCTGGCTCGCCCGAGATGGAGTGGGCATCAGAGGTGCCCACAACATGGAGCAGGCCACACCGCCATGTGCCCAAGGAGTGCCTGTGCTGCCCTGGGAGAACAGAGGCCTGAATTCACATCTTCGTAAGAAATCCTGGAATATTAGATGATCTGGCAGAGACTTTCAAAGTTATCTGATACAAACCTCACATTTTACAGATGAGGAAATGAAAGTCTAGAAAGACTAAGTGGCTTGAGGTCAGACATCCTTGGGCCACAGTCCTGACTGCTGAGGAGCTGGGACTCTGACCCAATGGCCCTTTCTCCCAGTTTCTATCCAAGCTGCTGCCAGGATCCTTATTCTTAAGTGCTTTGTCTTAAAAGTACCATCAATATGCAATTTTAAGTGCCTTCCAGAAACAGAGTAAATACTCCTGAAAAGTTATATCGTGAAAAAATGATGAAATGTTTTGTGATAGTCTATATTAAATAATTTTCATCCTTGCTTTGGCCTTTGGTAACTTAAATTTAAGCTTGGTTTTGTCAGAAATAGGTATGTTTTCTTTTACAAATGCAAAATGCCAATATTACACTACACTTTATAGTTACACTGTAAATATCACACTTTATAGTTTCACTATAAAGCTACAACTTTGGGGTATGTTGCTGTAAGCCAATAAAAATGCATAGGACAAAATTGTATGTACCCTTGTTTCTAGTAGGAAAATACATGATTAAGAAAAAAAGATAAGCAAATTTATCAATGATAACTACATTTCCTATAATGCAGTTATATTTTATAATTTAAAAATACTAGGTCCAATTATAATAGAAAGAAATAAGCAAGATCTTTTCAATAATTTAGGCTGACATGGAAGAATGGTCTTGTGTCCATTTTTGAAATGTCAGATTCAGTCAAATGCTCAGAAGTTTTAAGCTGAAGGATATATGTTAGTGTTTGACCTCGTTCTCCCAGCCTCTGCTCGCTTTCACTGCTGCATCACTGTCTCTCAAGAGGGTTGCAGTTTCTGTTTTGGGGTTTTTTTTGTTTTTGTTTTTTTTTCTTGCTATTTGTTTTCCACTGGCTTATTGAAGCCATTTGAAAAAACATGGGGTGGCCTTTGTGTGCGTGCGTGTGTGTGTGTGTGTGTGTGTGTGTGTGTGCACACAAGTCCTTACGCTTGCTTACTTGTTTGAACACAGATGTGTGGCAGCTGTGGAGGGAGTTGGAGAGGAACATGCACTGACGCAGTGCTTTTATCTTTGGGGCCAAGCCCACGTGGGGAGGAAAACAGCAAGCTGGACACATGATGAGAACCCCGTAGGGAAGTGTGTTCACAGAGTGGTGGTAGCGATCACACATCTATTGGTTGGGTCACTAGCTTCTGACAAACTGTCTACATGAGTTTGTTTTTGTCTTCTGTCTAGACGTGTGTTTGCGCAAACCGATTCTTGGTGCAAAGGGGTATCCATGACTCCTTTGTAAAAGAATTTGCTGCAGCAATGAAGAAGAGCCTGCGTGTAGGTAATGGATTTGAGGAGGGAACTACTCAAGGCCCATTAATTAATGAAAAGGCAGTAGAAAAGGTAAGTTCCTTTTATTATCTGGTAAAGTCAATTTCATGGTTTCAATATCAAAAGCTTAACCAGTGAAAAACACTTGCTTGAAGGGTGGGGGTGAGGGGATAGGGGAAGTTCTTTAATGGACACAGAATTATAGCTAGATAGAAGGAATATGTTCTAGTGTTTCATAGCACTTATTGGGTGACTATAGTTAACAATTCATTGTATATTTTCAAAATAGCTAGAAGAGAGGATTTTGAATGTTTCCAGCACAAAGAAATGACAAATGTTTGAGGTGATGGATATGCAGATTATCCTGATTTGATCATTACACATTACATACATTTATCAAAATATCACACTGTATCCCATAACTATGTACAATTATTATGTTTCAATTAAAATTAATAATAAAATGAAAATAAATAATAGATGGCATTGAAAGGTAAAAATAAAAAGTGAAAACAAACAAAAAGGCCACTTTGGGAGGTTGGTAAGATGACGGACTAGAAGCGGCCCATGTGTACCGCTCTCAAGGAGAGGACTGAAAGTTGCAGGTGGGTGCCCACCTACGAATGGCCTCCCTGGAAAGACCATTGTGAATCATCGAAGAAGCAATGGGGGGCATTCAGAGTGAAGGAGAAGGTGACAGGCGATCCATTTGACAAGATCAGAAGGTACCTGGGGGAGGTACCCACATTTGGGTAAGGACAGGAGGAGAGAACTCTGGGCCTCCACACGCCCCTATGAGCACTGAGGCCCGAGCTGTGAGGGGCCCCCACCACCACCACCACAGACCAACAAATGGATCAGGGAGCTGCTTGGAGTCTGTGTGGCAACATTGCACTGGAGAGTGGGCACAACATGGACCTGGGAGCTCTCATTCCAGGTTACTGCAACTGACATCATTCCAAGGTCAAAGGTCCAGAGCACCAGGTCTACACACAGCTTGGCTTTGCTGCAGCTGCCTTATCATTGCCTTGGCTGGCTGAGGAGGGAGCAGGGAGAGTCAATGATCTCGCATAACCCATGACAGGGAGCCAAGCGCCTTTCTCCCCATGGGGTTCTGAACAGATCAGGTACCACAGACACCACCTGAGAAGCCCTTCAGCAGCTGTCTCTGCAGGATCTGGGCAGGGGGAGAACTCCAGCAGCCCAGCAGCTGAGCCACACAGCTTTGTCTCTGCAATCCCCAAGCTGCCACCTGGCCCCATGGTTCTACACCCACAATTCCTGCACTGTTGCCCAGTCCCACCCCCAAGGCTCCAGTGCCATCCTTGGGTCCAGCAGTTCTACCCATGAGGTTCCAGTACTGTCGCTGGGCCCATGGCCCCAGTTCCCAGGCCTTCCTGCTGCTGTTGGGTGCCATAGCTCTACCCTCAAGGTTCCAGTGCCAGCAGTAGGCTCCACAGCCCCAGTACTGAGGCTCCCTCCTGCTATCGGGCCCTGTGCCCCATTCCCAAGGCCCCAGCACCACCACTGGTCCTTGCTCATGGATTAGTAGAATCAACATTGTTAAAATGTCCATACTGCCCAAAGTGACTTACAGATTCAATGCAATCCCCATCAAAATACCAACATCATATTTCAAAGATCTAGAAAAAATAATCCTGTGCTTCATTTGGAACCAAAAAAGAGCCCAAATAATAAAAGCAGTCTTAAGCAAAAAGAACAAATGTGGAGGCATCGCATTTCCTGACTTCAAATTATACTGTAAGGCTATAATAGCCAAAACAGCATGATACTGGTATAAAAGAAATATAGACCAATGGAACAGAATAGAGAACCCTGAAATAAAACCATCTACCTGCAACCAACTGATCTTCAACAAAGCAGGCAGCAACATGCACTGGGGAAAGGAGGCCCTAATTCAATAAATGGTGCTGGGAAAACTTGATAGCCACATGCAAAACAATGAAACAGGACCCCACCATATACAAAAATAAATTCAGGATGGATAAAACACTTAAATGTACAGCATGGAATCCCAAAAATTATAGAAGAAAACATAGGAAAAACTTTTAACAGATATTGGCCTAGACAAAGAATTTATGACTAAGACCCCAAAGGCAAATACAGCAACAACAAAAATAAATGGGATTTAATTAAATTAAAAATCTTCTGCCCAGCAAAGGAAATAATCAACAGAGTAAATAGATAACCTACAGAATAGGAGAAAATATTATCAAGCTATACATCTGAAAAAAGTCTAATATCCAGAATCTATAAAGAACTCAAACATCCACCAGATGAGGCTTAAAAAAAAAAAAAATCAAATCAACAAGGAAAAAACAAACAGTCCTATCAAAAAGTGGCCTAAAGACATGAAAAGAAATATTTCAAAAGAATTTGATAAATGGCCTATAAACATATGAAAACATGCTCAATATCACTAACTGTCAGGGAAATGCAAACTAAAACCACAGTGAGATACCACCTTATGCCTGTCAGAATGGCCATTATTAACAAATCAAAAAAGAATAGATGCTGGTGTGGATACAGAAATTAAGGAACACTTACACACTGATGGTGGGACCACAAATTAGTACAACCTCTACGAAAAACAGTATGGGAATTCCTCTGAGAAATAAACATAGACTTAATTTGATCCAGCAGTTCCACTACTGGCATCTACCCAAAGGAAAAGAAGTCATTTTATCAAAAAGACACCTGCACTCAAATGTTTATTATAGCACAATTCACAATTGCAAAGATGTGGAACCAACCTAAGTGCCCATCAATTCATGAGTGGATTTACAAAATAGACACACACACATCATGAAGTACTACTCAGCCATAAAGAGGAATGAAATAATGTATTTTGCAGCAACTTATATGGAACTGGAAACCATTATCCTAAGTGAAGTATCTCAGGAATGGAAAAACAAACACCACATGAGCTCTCTAATAATTGGGAACTAAATGATGGGCACACATGGGCACAAAGAGATGTAAAAGACATTGGAATCCAAGAAGTGGTGGGGAGGGAGTAAGGGGTAAAAACTTACTTATTGGTACAATGAACACTATTCTGGCGATGAGCACACTAAAAGCCCTGATTTAAGCATTATATAAGGTATCCATGTAACAAAAATATTTGTACCCCCTTAATGTTTTGAATTTTTTTTAAAAAGCCACTTTGGTAAAGTGCTCAGCAAGGCTATTTTAGGAAGAAATGAAGAAATCTGCAAAAAGTGAATTTCTTGTTCTCTGAGCACTTTTGTTAAGAAAAAAAGAAGAAGAAAAAAGGAAAAAAAGTGAATTTCTACCAATTTTATCTGAATGGGGGATGGGGAGAGCATTGTCTGGTCCAGCCCTGTCATTGTACCAAGTCCCCATGACATATGTCGCTGTAGGTCTTCTACTGCCCTCCCTACGTTTTCTGTTATAGTTTTGTATCCCTCATTGCTTTGGGAATTTGGATCTTGAAACACAAAGTTCTTTCATTATTTTGGAACACCTAAAAGGAAAGGAAGACCGACTTTGTTTATGGGATGATTTATGTTCCCGCTGTAATCCTGGCATTGGCCTGTTGTTTCCTCTCCTGAGGACAAAATGCCCTTCTAGAAGACTCCTTGGTGGAAGCCTCCCAGCAGTGGGGGTATAGAATCGCAGGTGCCACATTCAGGATTTAGAGGTAGTGAAAGGAAGTTACTTTTAGAAAGAATTTGTTTGTTGGAAAGAATGTCATAAACTAGACTACTAGCGAGGTGAGATTTCACTCTTGTTCTACTGTTTAAAAAAAAATGTACCCTTTTTTAGAGTCACTTACAAAGAAGTTTCTTGTAATACTAAACATCTAGTATACTGCCTGGATAAGTCTCTACTGATAGAATGGATTTTTTTTTAAAAGAATATTTAAAATCAGGCAGACAATGGTAGCTGGAGAGTGTTTGTGGCAAAGGGAGGAGAGGTGGCCAGAGGAGGCAGAGAGGACACACAGCCAGCCCTGGGGCAAACCTGAGGAACCAAAGTCAAGTTGGAGCCAAGTCAGTACTCAGCATGGGAAGCACAACCAGCCCTCTCTGTTCCTTGGCTTCCTGCCCCCACCCAGTGGGCAGTCAATTCAGCTGAACTCACTCGCATTGGTTGCCTTGGGAAACCCAAGAGAGCATGAGGTTTGACAGAGGTCTGATAAATTTCTAGTTATTGCCTTGGGATTACTCTAGGTAGAGAAAAAAA